GGAACGTGGGACTGACTTTTATTTATAGAGGCAAAACAGTATTTTTATTTCAGTCTCACATTCTTCCTCTCCAGTTGAATTTGTCAATTATTACAGGAATAGCAAATAATGTGACGACTTAATTTTGAGTTGTCTAAATCCTCCTCATCTCTATGGCAAATCCTTAGTTTAGATTTAAAGCAGGTTTATGCTGAGTCATAAAATATTCTCCTGGTGTGTCTCCCTTTCTCTAGTCCATAGCAAGATTTCATGTTCACTGTGGAATGGGCATAGCTCAACTTATGTTTAGTAATAATTGACTTAAGGTGGGGGATTCAGTGTGGCTTGCTCACACTGGTTCACAAGAGCTGCTCAGGCACATCTCTTCCTAAATCTGCATTCAGTGGCATCTCTTTGGTAGTTTGAAATCGGCCTGCAGTTGTAGGGACATTTACACCATAGTATTAGCAGGTGCTATAAATCAGGGGTTTTACTCCCCAAGGGCAATTGTTAAATACTTATCAGTACACTATGGGGTAAAGTTTATTATTTGCTGTCTTCAAAGTGGGTTTCCCTGCTGCCCTTTCCTGTGAGAAGAGAGTAATTTTCACCCACTGAAGTCAGGCTTGACTGAGACTTGCTTTGGTCAATGGAATGTGACCAAAAATACATGTGTCATTTCTAAACAGACAGTTTTTCTTTTTCCTCTGCCACAAGCTAGCATGTCCCTGATAGTGTCTGTGTCTTCAGTCTGAATTCTCGAATAAAGAGGACATGAAGTAAAATCACAGCCAGCCTGTGAAGAACATGGACATCAGCAAAGAATCTATCTTTCCTGTTGTAAAGATTTGGGGCTTGTTTGCTGTTACTCTCGCATTAATTAGGCTGAGCTGATTGATTTAACAGTTGGGACTTATAATTGAGATGCTGCCATTGCAGAAAACCTAAATTATGGGGCATTAACTCTGGGGCTTAGGAATGGGAAATAAAAAATATGTTGTTGAAGGATGGAAAAATGGCCACCCATGTTATCTAGTGACTATATATTTGGTAAAGCTGTCACCTATGATTACTGGGAAGGCACATGGATATGTACTGAATAAGCTTGTGGTTTTAGGCAAAAACATTATGAAACCAAATGTTACATGCCTGAGGTGCTGTGGTCTGGACACGATGACATACTACAGAAAAATTTAAGCTTAGGAAAGAATTGTCCATTTTGGAGAGATTGAAAGGAATATAAATGTCTAGAAATTTGAGGACTCAGAGGAATAGAGGATATACTTGTATCTGATTTCCAAACAAAGATAAAACTGGGGTTTTAAGTGACAATGACCTGATTAAAATTCAGCCTTGTGGCAAAGACCAACAGAAGGCAAGGCCTTCTATTAAAAACTCTGAATTGATTAAGGTGGCACTAATTAGATCTTTTCAATTGGATGAAATGGCTTGTGGAATGTGATTCTCCCACTGAAGCCAGATAAATTGAAGATAGCTGCAGTTAAGTCCAGAGAAAGTCGTAACTGGGGAAGAATTGTAGCTGTGGCCACTGGCACGTGATGTTTGATCTGGGAGTCTATCACTTGCACTCAAAGCACTCTCCAGAATAAACTGCATCATGGTTATTGGCAGGTTAAACTGAGATTTTATGCAGAAAGCATTTAGCAAACTTCTTGGCACATAGTAAGTGTTCAATAAGTAGAAATTTTAATAAAATCTGTTACAAGCAAAGACTAGTTCTCACAACTAACATGGGCCAGAGAGCAGTAAGAAGAAGCCAAGAATTTAAGTTAAAAGGTTCGATGCTAATCACTTAAGCAAATGAAAATGATCCTGGGTTGGGTTGGTATGGTGTGGTGGCGTGAACTTGGGTTGTAGCATCAGAGACTTGAGTTTGAAATCCACCTCTGCCACTTGACTAGCTGATTAACATGGAGCAAATTGCACAAGAATTCTGACCCTTGGTAGTCTCATCTCTAAAATGGGGATATCATCTCCTTGTGATGATTGAAACCACTAAGCATGATCCATCATTCTTGGCACCTAGGCATTCAATAAATGCTGGATACCTTCCTTCTCCTAAAACACCTGCTACTGCTACCACATGCTTGCTCCCAACTACAGAACATAATTTCACTTGTCAAAGGAAAGCACAAGAATTACTGCCCCAAAATGTTTTTCCTATGATGCCTCTGAAGGTTAAGATGGCCGTTAAGAGTGAATAAGCAGTAGCAGTTTATTGTTCTATACCCAAATTGCTTTCTAATGGATATTTTATGATTTTCTTAGTATTTATTATTTTGCTAGGATTCAAACAAAAAAAAATCAAGGAAACCTGATTTTCTTCAGAAGAAAAAAGGAAGAAATCACAACTAATAGTGGAGCCCATTTGTCCTGGGTCCCACACAGTGTTGATTTGGTGACCTCATTCCTGACTCCAGGGTTAGTCCTAAGAAATCTATCACCATCAACTCATAGCATTCCCACTGATGACCCCTATTGTCTAAGAATGGTCATTTGCCTACATCGATACAATAAAACTGCATTAAGGGAAATATATTCCAGTATATTCCATGCTTGAGGCAAGCTTCCTCTCACTTACTGGCCACAAACAAGAAAGCACAACACTTTGAGACTCCTGGCTGCCATCTTGGCACTGTGAGGAGATGCATCCTAAGGATGCAGCCAGATGTTGAGGACAATAGCACACAGGAAGAAACAACTTCTGTCTGAGGGGGTCTTTGAGCCGATTATCATGCGGCATCTGGATCCCACCCCACCTCTGGACTTACAGTTACATGAGGTAGTAGATTTCCTCACTTTTACGCCAGGCTTTGTTTTGGATCAGAAGAATCAGTCACAAGAGTGGGAAAGCAGTGCAGGGTAGAGTACACCAAGTGGCTGCAGGTCACAGCCCCAAACCCTGGCCACCTGGGTTCATTTCCTGCTTCCACCTTGTGGTCGCTGTGTGGCCTTGGGAAAATTACTCAACCTCTCTCTGCTTCAGTTTCTGCTCTGAGAAGAAACAATAATAATAGATATTACCTCATAAAGTTCCAGAGAGGATAAATTTGCAGTAAAATATGCAGTACAGTGCCTGGCACATGGTAAGTTTCAACAGAATGTGACTCACTGTGATGATTACCTTGAGTTGTGAAGATCATCTCAGGGTCCACAGTATGACCCTGAATGGGATCCTCAATTCTCTTTTTCTCTGTCCTTGACCTGGTGTCTCTGTTACTCTGGGTTTTGCTTTCTCTCCCTTTGCTGACCTCTCCTTCCCTCGTTCCTTTCACTAGCCATAATTGGCATGGATTTATAGCACTATTTGCTGTATTTTAAAGTATGTGATTTTACATTTCTTCTTTTTAATTTAAGAAGGCAAAGAGAACATTTTATATTCCCTTCAATACAAAATAACATTTTGATTTGCTTTTTATATATCCCCATTACATCTTACCTTCTGGGCTTTGGTCCAGTGTTCCACTCTGTCAAAATCATTTTAAGTCTTGACACCGTCAGTTACTGCCTTTGCCATCCTTCCTAGCTTTGTATCATTTGCCTTTTAAGCCTTCACCACGTCCTTGACAAAACCTGCAATTTAGAACTCCTCTGTCAGTTACCAGGTTAGGCATCTGTGCTGGAAAACTCTTAATCAGTGCCTCACAAATTTTAGTTAGCTTAAAAAATCACCTGGAGAGCTTGTTAAAACACAGATTTCTGGGCCCCAGAGATTCTGATTAGATCTGTAGGGAGACCAAGAACTGGCATTTCTAATAAGCTCCCAAGGAATGCTGAGTAGGGTTACTTTAAATAATAGTGGCTTGGTCAAATTATTAGCTTCTATTTCCTTGTGTTAAAGAAGCCCATAGTCCAGGGTGGGCATCCAGGCATTGGAACCTAGGCTTGTCTCTCCTTTCTGTGTTACATGGCATGTGGTTTCCTACTCCAAAAGGAACTCCAGCCATCATGTCCGCATTCCACTGATGTCCTGGGCAGAACTTCGCCACACAGCGAAATCACACTGTGTAGAAACCTGGGAAATAGGGTTGTTATTTTGGGTGTCATGTGCTCAGCTAAAAATCAGGGTTTTATGACCACATTAGAGGAAAGTGTACCTCTGACATAGGGAATTTTAGTGTAGTTATAACTGACCTTTCTCAACTCTCCAGCTAGAGGTTTGTGATCTAAATTCCTCTATGTGCTAGGTAGTTAATAAGAAATTCTGAATTTCTGGTTCTGATCATCTCCTTTGTATTGGTCTGCTTTCACTGCTCTAACAAAATACCACAGCATGGGTGGCTTAAACAACAGAAATTTATTTCTGCACTTCTAGAGGCTGGAAGTCCAACATCAGCAGGGTTCTGTCCCTGTGAGACTCTCTCCTGGCCTTCTCCCTGTGTCCTCACAAGGTGGGAGAAGAGACAGAGATGAGGACAGAGAGAGAGGATCAGGGCTCCACCCATGTAACCTCGCTTAGCCTGAATTTCTTCTTTATAGGCCCCATCTCCAAGTACAGCCACACTTGGGAGGTGTTAAGGCTTCAACATGATTTTTGGGGAGATGTAATTCAGTCCATAGCATCCCCTTATAGATAAATATTCTTACTTGCATTTCAGAGTTCACGATATTGAGTTTCAGAGAGTTTTAATGATTTTGCTGAGATCCCAAAGCAATTAAATGCCCAAACCAAGATTCAAATTAAAGTCTGCCGAAGCCAAGGCTCCTTCTCATGCCTCATTCTGAATCACAGGAATTGTACACTTGTTTGCAGGATAAGCCTTGAATCAGTCAACGACCATTGCATGATAAGCAACCACAAACATCTGCGGAGCGAGGCATTGATTTCACTCCTGAGTATGCATCAGCTGGGGGCCCGCTGGTCGAGGCCAGGCAGGACTAGGTGCAGGCTGGATCTGGGTCTGCTCCGTGAATCTCTCATCTTCCCTGGACCCATAGGCTCATCAGGGTACAGTCTTCTCATGCTAAAGGCAGAGCCTGTGCAAGTGTGTAGGCATGTTTCCACCCGTCTGCAGGGGGTCTGCTTCTGTTCCCTGCCCAAAGGAAGTCATGTGGCCAAGAGTAAGGTAAGCAGCGTATGCTTCCCAGGAGGGAATACATATTTTGCATGTGTTCTAATCAACCCCAAGCCCCTAGGCAGGTGCTTTGGAATGGAAAGATACTTGACTGGGAACCAGGAGTCCTGGGTTCTGGTCCCCAATATGCTGTTCATGACTTTGTGACCTTGGACATATTACTAATCCTTTCGGGATCTCTAAGGCTGCTTCAGGCTTTGACTTAAGAAGCTCTGGTGGGAAAAACAAATCAGTGCCTTTCAAACCTCTCATCTCCAAAGGTAACTTAGTCTTTACTTATTCCAAGCACAAATAAACACAGCACTAGAGCCCCTTCAAAACTGTTGGGCTAATGTTCATGACTGTTAATGATCAAACTGGAGCAGTGTACAGCTGGTCCTGCTGGTCCCAGGAAGGCTCAGAAAGAAATGAAGCCATTGGGAAGCACTGATGCTGTGACCTTCTGCTCCCTGGGCTTGAGTGTAGGCTGTGCTTCTGCTCAGACAGGTGAGCTTTAATTTTAGTGATTTATGATAATGCCTCTGAGTGCGAAGGTAAACATGTCATGGTTTATTTTGCAGAATTAATGAAGTCTGATTAATCTCCAGTCCCCAGCAGATTCTGTTCTGAGAAATGGAGTGAGACTGCCAGGCTTTTGTGTGGGTTGCGGAGAGAGAATTCATGGCATGGGAATCATCCAAAATCCTCACAATCTCATCTCTTTCGTCCCATGGGTGTTTGTGTGGATACCTTGCCATTATAGCAGCTGCCTGCTGACGGGGGAGAGACCCTTCTAACAATGCAGTATGCCATACTGTAAGGGCAGCTGACGTTACCTGAGCTATTACCATCTGTCAGGTGCTCTGCTGTACACACACTAATTATTGGAAAAAAGTACACACTTGTGATCTGGACAGATAACAGTTCAAATTCTAGTCTCAGAGTTTACAGGCTGTGCAAGCTTGGGGGCATAGAGTGGGCAGTGTTGGCGTCCTTCTCTGTGTATCCCAGCCCCAGCTTCCCTGCCTGTCCAAGTTCTACAGCATGGGCACTTCCAGCGTGTGCTCTTGTCACACTTCGGTAGGTGAAATAAATATGTAAGCAACAAACTATATTGAAAATAAAACCCATGCGTGGCTCTAAGCTGCAAACTGAAAAACTCAGTTTGTCTACAACAACACTGAGGACAAATCCCTCTAAAAAAGAATTGGAGGTTATAAATACTTGCCTGAGAATTTAGGGTTGCGTGTATTGAAATTCACAAAGGAGGTGGAAGAGGTGACAGCAGTGGAAAGACCATTGTGATAAGGAGACTTGAATTTGAATCCTGATTCCGCTGGCCACGAAATACGATTTCGGTCAAAGTCCCTATGCTTTCCGCATCTCAGTTTCCTCACCTGTAAAGAGGGGACTGATTATACCTGTCCTGCCCTTTGCACAGACTTCCTGCAGAAATCCCAGGAGACAGAAGCTGTCAATGATTAGTAACTCCATCTTACAGATGGAGAAATCAAGGACAAAAATGTAGGAGGTGGAACAGAAGAAACTTCTATATTTCTCTAACCTCCTCTTTTCCCACTGTTTTCCTGCTCATTCTGCCCCCACTGCAGAGGCATTTGGTCCTTTCTTTTAATAAACCAGGCTCATTCCCCACTCAGAGCCTGTGCCCTTCCTGTTTCCTCTCGCCAGAATGTTCTTCCCCTAGATCTTACAGCCTTCAAGAAAGGGTTGACCCCTTCTTGTTATTCAGGTCTCAGCTCATACATTGCTTTCCCAGAGAGGCCTTCCACAGACACCGTCTAAGGTGGTCCTTCTCCCAGGCTGCCTTTACCACATCATCCTGTTGTATGTTCACATAGCACTTATCACTGTCTGAGATCATCTTACTTATTTGTTGTCTTATTAATTGTCTTCCACTACTCTTTCTCCTTGAGGAGAGAGAGAGACTGCTCATTTTCTGCTACATCTCCAGTGCCAAGAACAGGATTTGGCTTATGGTAGACATGATAGTTTTTTGTTTAAATAAATGAATTAGCATGTATAGATTCAACTTATTATTTTTAATAGCTTTATAATACACCCCTATGATATACCATAATTCACTTAACCAGGCCTTTGGAGATGTGTACCCAATTTGTTTTCTCTTTCTCTTCTACTTGTATTTATTTTCACTTAAAAATTTTTTTTCTACAACAAACAAATGAATGTACACTGTGTGTATTTACTACAGTCCATCCATAGAGTACATCCTTAGCCATGGCATTGCTGGATCAAAGGACATGTGGCTTTACAAATTGTGATATGTATTAATAAATCTCTCTACAAAATGTGTCCAGTTCATACTTCTTTCAACTGTGTGTGATGTTCCCAGATTCTGGTTCCCTTTAAGTTCCTGCCAGTAATACTTTCTTGCTGAGAAGACGTTGCTGCCTTCTAACCTGTTTTCCAAAATGCTCCATCTACTGGATTTCTTATCCAAGGAGAGGCCATGGGTACTGCAGCTATGTTCTATTTCTCTGCCATCTGTCCTGATGTGTTTTCTGCCTCTTTGTTTGGGTTACATTCTCCATCCTTTTGTGGCAAAAGAAGGGACATTTTAAACACATGGTAGTGTCTATAGAGATTATTTATTGTTTAGCAAATATCCACTCCCTTCCCACTTCCACATGAGAGGAAAGTACTGTCTCCACTCCCAGACTTTGGCCTTGGCCATGTGACTAGCACTGGCCAATAGGATGTTAGCAGATGTGCTCTGGGCCGAAGCTTGAAGTATGCTTGCATGATTAGGCTTACTCTCTAGTGCCCCCATATTTCTTGTGTGTCTGTGAGAACAGCATGCCTCAGGAAGCTTATACACCAAGGAGAATGAGAAATGTATGGAGCATTTCTGCACCTAACTTGCACTTGGAGATAAAACTAAAGGAGCCCAGCCTAGATCAATTCTAGATGTAGATGTGTAAGTTTATTGTCATAAGACACCAAGATTTCTGTTCTTAATTGTTATACAAAAAAGCTGACTGATACAAAATCCAGCTTGAAAATGGAGCCTCCTTTTTGTAGCCCCTTGACACTTCCTATGTCTAAACATCTCCTAGGGCAGTGACAGCAGAGGAATATTTAAGCTTCTTATATTTACTTTGTGTGGGTTTCATTGGTCTTTGAAGAAAGCATAGGACCGAAGATTTAGTCCTAGGTAGGTTGAGGAAGCAAAACTACTGCTAGAACAGCATAAGCAAAGGTATGGAAGAAGGAATGTGCAAGACTTGTTCTAGGACTAGAGAATTTGAGGTAGAAAATAAGGAATTGAGTGACAACATGGATTGACTTAGAGGGTATTATGCCAAGTGAAATAAGCCAGGTGAAGAAAGATAAATACCATATGATTTCACTTATATATGGAATCTAAAAACAAAACAAAATGAGCAAAACAGCAATAGACTCATAGACACCGAGAAGTGATTGATGGTTACTATGGGGAAGGGGTTGGCGTGGGCGGGTGAAAGAGGTGAAGGGGATAAAGAGGCACAAAATCTCAACCATAATATAAATTAGTCACAGGGTTGAAAGTACAGCATAGAGAATAGAGTCAATAATTTTGTAACACCTTTCTATGTTGACAGTAACTACACTAGTTGGGGTGAAGATTTAATAATGTCTAACTGTCAAATCACTACGTTGTATATTTGAAACCACTATAATATTGAATATCAACTATAATTCAATAAAAATAATCATAAAGAAAATAAGGAAGAAGGTAGATTTAGCTTTTACCCTTAAGTTACTAGTTCGTGCAAAGGAATACAAGCTCCAGGGCATTCTGGGTGCTAACTGTACGTGAATGATAGACCATAAGTGACTGATGTTCAGAGATCAACTACATAATGAAGGCAGATAAGGGTCTAAGATTGGGCTGGCTGTGCCAAGTAAAAAAGGCTGGCAGGCAACTTCATTCATAATTTTACTGTTTCCATTTAGAACATTATTATTAATTAAGCTGTGTTTAACATGGTGACAGTCCACATTTTAGCCCCTTCAATATGGTGTGAACATAGCTTTGTATTCACAGAAAACAGACTTCAATTGTAGCACTCAGTTCATTCTGAATGTGGCCCTATGCACATCAACTTTTTAGTAGAATTCAGTTTTAAACAGTTATTTTGTGAATAATTTTTGGTATTAAATCAAATCAATTGTATAAACATTCATTTTTAAATATTTAGCATCATGAAAAGTCATATAGATGGAAGTTTGAATTCCTCATCCACCACTTATTGTTTGTATGATCTTGAGCAAGTTAACTTTGCCTTGAAAAGACTCAGTTTCTTCATCTGAAAAACAGGGTGAATAAAATCCATCATGTTGCTGTAATGCATAAATGAGTTAATGCATATAGAGCGCATTTATCACTATAAACTTTCTTCTTAGAACTGCTTCTGTGGCATCCCATAGGCTTTTATGTGTTTTGTTTTCATATTCATTTGTTTCAAAATATTTTTTGATTTCCTCTTTGGTTGTTCAGGAATGTGTTGTTTAATTTCCACATATTTGTGAATTTTCCTCCTTATTGATTTTTAGTTTCATACCATTGTGGTTGGAAAAGATACTTGTTATGATTTCAGTATTCTTAAATTTGCTAAGACTTGTTTTGGACCTATCACATGATCTATCCTGGAGAATGTTTGTGTGTCCTTGAGAAGAATGTACATTCTCCTGCTTCAGATAGGATGTTTTGCATATGTCCGTCAGATCCTTTTGGTCTAAAGTATGGTTCAAGTCCAAAGTTTCCCTTATGACTTTCTGTCTGGGTGATCTTTCCATTGCTGAAAGTGAGATATTGCAGTCCCTTACTATTATTGTATTTTTTCTCTGTTATTTCCTTCAGATCTGTTAGTATTTGCTTAATATGTTTGGGTACTCCAATGTTGGGTGCATATATATTTAATGATTGTTATATCTTCTTGATGAACTGAACTTCTTTATCTTTAGTTACCATTTTTGGTTTGAAGTCTGTT